ACATTTGATGATGGCCTAAAAATGCAGCTGGCAACAATGAGTCGATTGGTCATCAAAGATACCCTGTTTAATAGGATACTTTACAGTTTCATAACAATTGTAAACAACCCGCGGAATATCACTGAGTTCAAATCACACATTTTGCGGCTAAAAATGTTTTTTGAAAGTAATTCTTTGCATGTAAGAAATGCAAGGTGTTGATATGTTTGTATGTCAAAGATGAAAAAGTAATAATTTTGTCCGTATAAAATTAAAAAGAGTAATATTTTGTAAGTAAATATTATAAAATGTTAAAATTTTGCCACTAAAAATGCAAAAATTCAGTTTTTGTATGCAAATAACCGCATCAAACAGCAGTATAAATATAATTAATTTTTGTACATATATTGAAAAATGTTCTATGATTTAGTAAATAAAAATGTAAATTTTGCATGTAGAAAATGTGTTAATTTAAAGATATGGATTTTTTTTATGTTTTTGTCAGTAAAATAGTAATGTTTTGTAATAAAATATTGTAAAAATCATGCTTTGGCATGTATAATACCAACAAAACACGCCAAAAACACCATGTCCAAGATGGCGGAACGATCTTACTTAACCGATCACGGCGGTATTGGAATTTTTATCAAACTACGTAAATTCGTAACTATAAGAAAGGTGGCCTTAATCCTTGATCGATCACGTCAGGTTTAGCAATATTTACTATATATATTTAATGCATCCCGTACATCAGAGACAACCATAAGCAATAACTCTTGTCTCTAAATCGAGTCCAGCACCAAACGCGAAAAGTATCCAAGAGACGATGGCTGTGGACAATTGAAAGAATCAAACAAATTTGATGCGAAACAAAAGTGATTCCATACTGAAAGATAATGGAAGGCACACCAAGTGATGACCATCATCAGACGGACGTAGTTCTGGAACTTATATTTTTTTCTCAAAACTCACAAATACAATACCAGAACGTCAAGATACCAAAGACAAGGAATTGAAAGTTCGGTTACGGAAATAATCAACAAAACTTAATTGAGATGTTTTATTTTTCAGCAAAAAAATTCATAAAACATCCTTATCAACACGTGTCAATTTCTAACATGTTATGTCACACATATATTTCTAAATATTCAGTCGTCATTATCTCATTCAACCTTTCTAAGTGTTCAATTTGCATGTAGAAAAAGAGTGCTGCATTGTGCATTATGATGAGTTGACGGTTTTGGGTGATTTATATTGCACGATGGCAAATAATATTCTACAATTGAATGGTTTAAATATAACATAGAATGACAATAAATCAATTAAAAAAACAAACAACCGTCTATCAATGTAAAATCAACAATGATACACATAAATAAATACTCTGTTATACAGGTCACATAAACACACCTTAATACACGTACTCATAACTTTACACGTCTTATAAACACACCCTAATACAAAGACATATGATAGTGACACATTTACACGTCTTATAAACACAAGATACACGGACATATGATAGTGACACATTTACACGTCTTATAAACACAAGATACACGGACATATGATAGTGACACATTTACACGTCTTATAAACACCGTGATACATGGACATATGATAGTGACACCTTTACACGTCTTATGAACACAAGATACACGGACATATGATAGTAACACATTTACACGTCTTATAAACACAAGATACACGGACATATGATAGTGACACATTTACACGTCTTATAAACACACCCTAATACACGGACATATGATAGTGACACATTTACACGTCATATAAACACACCCTAATACACGGACATATGATAGTGACACATCTACACGTCATATAAACACCGTGATACACGGACATATGACAGCGACACATTTACACGTCTTATAAACACAAGATACACGGACATATGATAGTGACACATTTACACGTCTTATAAACACAAGATACACGGACATATGATAGTGACACCTTTACACGTCTTATAAACACAAGATACACGGACATATGATAGTAACACATGTACATGTCATATAAACACACCCTAATACAAGGACATATGATAGTGACACATTTACACGTCTTATAAACACACCCTAATACACGGACACATGATAGTGACACATTTACACGTCATATAAACACACCCTAATACACGGACATATGATAGTGACACATCTACACGTCATATAAACACCGTGATACACGGACATATGACAGTGACACATTTACACGTCATATAAACACACCGTGATACACGGACATATGATGGTGACACATCTACACGTCATATAAACAAACCGTAATACACGGACATATGATGGTGACACATTTACACGTCATATAAACACACCGTGATACACGGACATATGATAGTGACACATTTACACGTCATATAAACACACCGTGATACACGGACATATGATAGTGACACATTTACACGTCATATAAACACACCGTGATACACGGACATATGATAGTGACACATTTACACGTCATATAAACATACCATAATACACGGACATATGATAGTGACACATTTACACGTCATATAAACACACCGTGATACACGGACATATGAGAGTGACACATTTACACGTCTTATAAACACCGTGATACACGGACATATGATAGTGACACATTTACACGTCATATAAACACACCGTGATACACGGACATATGAGAGTGACACATTTACACGTCTTATAAACACAAGATACACGGACATATGAGAGTGACACATTTACACGTCTTATAAACAACGTGATACATGGACATATGATAGTGACACATTTACACGTCTTATAAACACCGTGATACACGGACATATGATAGTGACACATTTACACGTCATATAAACACACCGTGATACACGGACATATGATAGTGACACATTTACACGTGTTATAAACACAAGATACACGGACATATGATAGAGACATATTTACACGTGTTATAAACACAAGATACACGGACATATGATAGTGACATATTTACACGTGTTATAAACACAAGATACACGGACATATGATAGCATAACTGCCCATTCTCAAAATATCAAAGCCGGTGTTATTTGTATATTGTAACATATAGAATGCAAGTTGTCATAGTTTCAACTGTGACGTTAAGACTTCAAGAAAATAAAATACACGATCAAAAATCATCATGTCAATAAGCTCGAAAAAAGTGTATTTTACGAAATCCTTTTAATCTTTTATCCTTATTTTTTTTCGTATGGGATTTTGTTTATCATAACGAGCCGATACAATGGACAATCCTCTGTTCACAAATCCAGTGATCCAAGATTAGGTATAATCTGTATGATTTTATATTTAAACAATCTATAAAGGTGATTTCTGTCAACGTTTGTAAGGTGAAATAATACACATGAAATTTTGCATTAAATACTATAGTGGCTAGTAATTAAGGTTGTTAACCACGAGTTATTTTCTCAAACATAAATTAGTTAGCCCCATCACCACAACACCATACATTCAAATATATCAACAGTAATTTATAACAGATAATCTGTATAAAACATTAACTTGTGTAAATAAAACAAACAGGTAGCCATGGCTACGACAACAATTAACCCTTGATGTATAGTTTTTAAATCACACACACAAGTAGGTAACTAATCGGACTCAGTCACATACTTAGGGGAATGCATGAAAAAACAGCCCCATTACTGTGTCATTGTTCTTTGTGCTTAATTATCTTCTATATCATCACTCCTGTCATCATAAAACACGTTCATAGGTATGATTACAACCTTGGCTTATTGTTTTATATATGTGGGGTTTTTTTTAATGAAAACATAGTTAGTTCCTATATTGAGTAGCACAGTAACACTTTAATGTTTTACAGAAATGTGATTAGCAGGTAACAAAGCTCTGTACCACACTGTGTTATATTCTTTATATGTACATGTACAACCATTAGGAACATGTACTCAGGACAATGTACACTGTACTACGTGCGTGTCACAAGGATATGCACCTTTATATGTTCTACACACGTTCAAGGAAGGAATGTACTTATACATGTATTAAGTATGCGTTACCAGGACAATGTGTATACTCGCGTAGCACTGGAATGTATATATACATCTGTATAAAATCTTGTCTGAGCTTCAATACAAAAAAAATAGGGAAATATTTATATAGCTACATACATATTGGAGTTTTGTAATGTAAATTTCAGGTTAACATACCAGTAACCAAGCGCTAACCTATCATTTAGATTTTTCTACTGAACCTTAATGATGACAAGAAAAAAGCAGACGTTTGTCACAGATAATTGCACTGACACACACGTGATCAAGTGAACCCATTCATCACAACCTAAGTAAAAGATAAGGAATATACACATTATCAATGAACTTCATAGAAAGACAAAAATAGCTCGCATTGTAGATAACTTATGACACGTGAACAATACACGTTACGTACAAACTACCATACAACTCGCAATGCGGACAAATCTTCATGCATTCCATCTATACAAGCACTTTGCAGAATAATAGTCAACCAAATATAGGTATGTGGAGGAAAAGATATTTTACCCGAACCCCAATTCTATAGCCTCGGATTGAATATCCATTATCCCACATATATTCTAAGTCACCTGTAAATATCAAAATTTAAACACATCCATCCCTTTATCAAATCATATAAAATAATTCCTTTTGTTCACGAGATGGAGTCAGTTACCGATGAAAAATGCATAATAATCATGACGTCATAATATGACGTCGTCCTCCCATTGTAATGTCATGCCATTAAGTTCGCGTTGAGGCTAGTTTTTTCCATATATTTCCATCCATACAAATCGCATTGCAGCCAAACTAATTTCTTCATAGCACGAAATCCACAATTTGCACCAATCAAGAGTCACCATAAATATATGACGTAATTTCACGTTGACACACACACTTCTCCTTGCAGATATCTTTTATCCATGTGTTTTTGAAAGCAGCACTTTTACACTCATACTACTGTTACTAGGCATTCTCATTTCCATCTGATGTAATATGAGTCCATTTCACCGGACTCGAGGTGAATATTTTGTTGACCAGTCATCTGTTTTTCTAAATGTACATGTGTTAACGTCATTTTATCTAGCTGGTCGACTTCAATGTCATTAAATATGGCTTTAAGGTCAATCGGTGCCTTACTGACGTCATTGTTTGCGAATACACACGAATTTCGTCTTTTGTGAAGTGTCACACCTGTTCCAGAGAAGCCTAGTCCATCCGTCATTAGCGTTTTCACGTTGGAGAAGATGACGTCAGGCGGTAATGTATGACGTAACATGGTGATAGAAGGAATAATTGAGGACTGTACCTGGGCTACTGTGAAAGTCTGAATGGGAGTCTGAAGGTGATCGTTTATCAAATGTGCAGTTAGAGAAGGAAACTCCACGAAGTCTTTGTTATCACTCTGTGAAGGCCTCGAGGAAGAAACGTGATCCAGTGACAACACCATTTTACTTGGAGCAGGTTTCTGATCCACAACTGCTTCTTCCAGACCCTTTCCTTTACTCATAGGTATGCGTTCCATCATGATATCGAGTTGCCCATCTCTCAGACTTGCGACGCCGTGAGGCTGGGCCACGTGTATAGTCAGTCGGCGCGACTTGTCCTCAAGTACCGCCATGGATGTGATTGGGTAGAAATTTGCCCCAACAGGAAGTTCACTTCTATAACGTCTGCTGACTAGTTGGAATCCATTGGAATCTGTGAAATATCGACCATATTCATTAACGATATCGGTCTTGAATCTCATCATCAACTCCACGTCTGGATTAGTATCGGGATTGAGGGTAGCTATATTATCGATGTATACAGACCTACCCTGAATACCTTCCGTATGATACAGTGTAACAACGTGGTGGAAGTGAGCATGAATTATCCTCACCTGAGTAACCATTTTACCAGAAACCACTACTACCGGACGCGCTGTTCCCAAAAGGCTTTCTATTCCTTTTATGGAAGTGCCAAAGGTATACGCGTTACTGTTCCCGGTCTGGTAGGTGACCCAGTCCAGGTTGAGGACGGCACACGAGACTTTGTCACACACTCGCTGAAGCGCTCCGGTGACGGAAGAAACTTCTGTGACCAGATGTGGAGTCTCGATCTTCAGCAATCTACTTGCATTTCCTTGGTGTTCTCGAACATCAAAAAGTGAAGGTTCTGGCAGCTTAAGTTTCCCGTTATACATGGAAATCGTAGGCATTATGATTGAAGGCGATTTAGATTTTTTAACAGTGTACGTTACGCAGGACAAAGGAGCGATAGAAAGCTCAAAATATACTCGATACGACTTAAGTACTGTTACTGAGCCCATGGTATTGTCAGCAATGTATGGATTAATCTGAACCGAGATAGATTTACCAGTTTCGTCAAAAATGTTCACATCCGGAACATTGACAAGAATGCTCTGTATTTCATTCCGTCTTTGTGTGTAGGCATTGATGAAGATGAGGTTAGATCCGCTCTCTCTGAGCTGTAAAACTTTGGGGTTGAGCATCGCATCTGGAGAAGACTGAATATAAAGAGGTTCTATGGGTGATCCTAGGGTTGACGTGGTTAGAAGCTGCTGCAGACTCTTGCCCAAAACCTGCTGTAACTTAGAAATGGCATCGAACACTCTTTTCTCGAAATCTAACACCGTTGGGTGAGCGGATGTCCCTGTTATGGCATCATGGTGCTGAACGAGCCCATGCGTTCGCCGGGCATTCTGAAGAGCTCCAAGAACTTCAGGAAGTCCTACATATACGTGACCATGCTGTTGTGAATGAACAATTGAATATGATGTCACAATTTCTGTGGCCTTAAGCAATTCAAGCAATGATCTGATCATCCGTTTATCGAAAGGTCTTGTGGTATAGTATCCACTCCAATATTCGTGATCACGATCTGTGTAGGTAAAGTAATCTCCAGTTATCACAGGTTCTGTTTTTCCATTTTCTTTTGACCTCTTTATTTCATTTTTTAACAAATCAAAATATTCACCGACAGTTCCAAATTTCATTTTTACGTTCCATTCCTTTTTAGAATTAACAAACATGATGAGACGCTTCATATTCGTATACTGTCGTTCCCATTCGTAATCACTGATGTAACGGAAGTCGTCCCCGTGTGGCATCAAAATGACATTGTGGCTATATTGAGTGGCCTTAAGTCGATACTGCTCGACAATTAATTTAGCTAGCTGTTCAAAGGTTTGTCCTCCATTTCCACGCTGGTAACCAAATTTCTGGTTGCTTTCTGGTGGGAAATCTGGTTCCCGAGCAAAATCCATCCGCTTACAAAGATTCATATTTGGACCACAGCTATACTCAATGTTATACAAAGTGTAAGGTTCCACGTGACACGTTATATCATGTATTCCGTGGAGGTCCCATGGCTGTCGCCAATTGTACGTGAGAAGTTGCCGATTTCCCATATAGGATTTAACAGCACCGTGTATACGTAGTATAGCCATGTTGGACATCCCGGACTTCTTCCACAGGTATGGTAGTGTTAAAGAATAACCGAACGGATCAATGGACCAGCTCGTATTAACGACCACTCCAAGATTGTCCTTAATCCACAGATGACCTTCGATTAATTGGTCAAGAACAGCTGTATAGTGAGTGGTCGCTTCGTCGACGGACACCCAGCCCCCGGACAGTATTTCCAGTTGACCATTTTTCAGAAGTGCCTTTAGTTGGGATCTTTCTTGCTGAGTAGCTTCTTGCCACCACATTTGTAAAAATATAGTCTCCGACCAGATCATCCGGAAATCAGGTGTTGCTGTGAGAAATTTGACAGTGTTGGATAAAATATGCTTTGTCCTGACATCATAGTAAGTCTTTAACGTCCAAAGCCAGCCAGGGTCGTTGTGAGAATGAGGGACAACAATGACAGTCAATGGTTCTGACTGATTCATGATTTTCTTAGACAGAGGGTCAGCAAAGACACGTTCTGTTTCATTGATAATGTATAAACCATTCCTCGGGTCTTTAGTAAACCTAACTTTGTCATAAAAATCCTCTACCATGTAAGTTGCAGTGGCTTTCTGTAATTGGCATGTACCTGTGGCGCCACCTTTGTGCATTCCAAGTGTCAAATCGGCAACAAGATCCCTCGATGGACCGTTACGTTCTTTAGGAGTTCTACTTAAAAGGCTGGTCGTTCCCTTGTAAAATGTCGCTACACCGACGAGAACAGCAACCATGACAACCGCCGTTACTAACCTCTGTTTATACTTCATGGCAGAATGATGACGTCAAAAACTCTATATCATCCAATTTCTGAAAGTACAGAGAAATACCAGTTTAAGTGTTGTCTTCTTTGAAATGAAATAGCCGCTATAAAAAGGTATATGTTATAAAGATTTGCAATGCCGAATAAGTGTTTGTAATTGAAAATCTGCAAACATATCGCTAACTATTATAATATCTCTACGGTTCCTAAACCGATATGCAATGTCAATGCTTCCTTTGGGAAATCTATATTTTAAAGCTAACCCTATATATGTAAATTGTGTCGGTATTTCGGTTATCTATAGCAGCCATTTCACCAAAGTTATCCCCCAGTCAAGATACAGGTCTTATGAACTGGTTTTATATATGAAATAATTTCTACGGTTCCACAAGACACGTTAGATATTCTATTGGGATTGGGAGAAATGTAATATAAATGTCAAGATCATAGTGAAATTCTGTATGGCGTCATTCAATTTATTCGTTAAACTGTCTTTGATTCGTACCGACAGTTGCACGCAATAAGATATAATCTAATTTCAACATATTTTAGTAATACTAGCAAGGAAGTATAAGATCTTAAACCAGTCACTGACACACTATCGTTTACCAGTGGGTGTCACGATATCATTTACAAGTGGGTGTCACTGTATCCAGGAAGTTTAACTGTGACATAGATAGGAACCACTAGAAACCTAAACTGTTAACTCTAGAATCAAGTCCGCCTGTATTTTATAAGTATATATTAAATCTTGAACCGTCGAAGTATATACTGGTTATCTGGAAGTCAGATTCATTTTAACTACAGCATGTATAATAATGTCAATGTGACATTAAAACCACTCGCTCCTTCAATATCCTTACAATGTCTGTGTAATGTTTAGGGTATCGCTCGACGTTATACTGCAAAATGAAGGCATTCTTGTTTTTTTATAGATGTACATTATACGCAAAGCTCTTTCCCTAAAACCTAGTTCTAGAGTCAAAAAACAAACGGTTTGCGTTCATAAATATTCCTATAAATAACATTACCGAAGAATAAATCAACACAGTTACTTTAAAATCCATCAAAATAAAAAAAATAATTTCTCACATAACAACTGAAGCCGATGCACACAACCTGTTTCTCACATAACTAAAGACGATACACACCACCTATTTCTCACAGAATAACTGAAGCCAATACGCAAAACCTATTTCTCACATAATTGAAGCCGATACACACAACCTGTTTCTCACATAACTGGAACCGATACACACAACCTGTTTCTCACATAGCAACTGGAGCCGATACACACAACCTATTTCTCACATAACAGCTGGTGCCGATACACACAACCAATTTAATACATAACAACTGAAGCCGATACACACAACCAGTTTAATACATAACAACTGAAGCCGATACACACAACCAGTTTAATACATAACAACCGAAGCCGATACACACAATCTATTTCTTACACAACAACTGAAGCGTTGATATATTTCCTGTAGTTACAAAGATAATTTGAATATCTATGTGCAAGCACCACACTCAACATTGCGAAACGCCAGAGCGACAACTTAACAATTATTTCCTTTTTTCTCGAAAATATCACACCGATGCGAGCTCTCGAAATATCCTACAAAGTGTACTACATGTCTGACGTGAAGTTATATCTCTCTTCATTTTTTGTAGCGACGCACGAAGTACCTAGAGCGTCTCAAAGAGAACAATGCCGCAGAGATATAGTTACGGCAGAATATTTCTGAAATGATTTTTCGTGGTAAGTTGAAGCAGTTTAATTATAACTCCTAATTCATCAACATCTATAAAAATATATCTGAAAAAATAACTTCGTTATATTTATTATACATAAGGTTAAAATAATGTGATACTGCACAATACATGGTTACACAGTGGCCTTGCATCTGCTTTTTGATAGAGATATTATATCGTGTAATATGTTTCCTTTTCACATTGGCGTTTTGGGATGTAAATTCTGATAAAAATAAGTAGAGAAACATCATTTGGGAAATTGGCAGTATTCGACAAGCTAAGACTTGTCGAAGGTTCAACGTTAGAGAGTTATCAGACAACGTACAGCCTTAAGTCTATAAACCGACTTGTCAACTGATGTTTGTTTATCATTGTAGTTGTGAGACATATTGTGCTGACAAACATGAGGTGGGTTTTTGGTAAGAAAGTGTAATATAACAGCCTAATGATGACATGCTGAAGTGACCAGTTTCAATGATACAGCGATGTTTGTTTTCGTGATGATAGGATCACTATAGTACTGAGATGTTCATGACCTGAAAATAATTAAATGGTCGACCTACTTACGTACATATATATATATGTGTGATCAGCATGCTGGCTGTCCTCCAGTGTCACTTCTCTATCTTTCCAACATGATCCTCTGCAAACCACGAAGAAAAGGGATTAAAATGATGCGTTGAATTCTTGTGCATCCATCGAAATCATATCACCACCAAATGACACACTCTTAAACTTACCTAACCTGGCGTGTTATATACTGCAGCAGCAGCGCAACACGTTTAACCTAAATAGCTTACCTGTAAATACAGGTATGACAGATGGGTTATAACACACAGCCTAGTATCTGGCCAAGATCATTATTACCTAGGCTGCGTCGCTAGCGACATTTGTTTTCTACCTTGAACCGTCAATGTACTGCCGATATAAAAAAATTATCACTGGTCTAAAAATGGTTGTAGAGTTGAATATTGTAACCTTGTTCTGTCATGTCTCGTAAGCATCATACATCTAAATCCATCGCTTATCTCTCAACCAAAGCGAATAAACAAGTAATCCTGCTGATTTGTCTAATTTGGGATCACATTCATTATAATGTCGACGGTCCGCATATCAGAATTAACGGTCCAGAAATTATCACATTGACGGCCCATATATAATGAAAATTAAATCAGAACACGTACTGAAATCACTTTCCCAACACGTGTACATTATAGCCGCGTGTACATCAGTCCCCATCCAAACACACATTGTAGACACGTGTACAACAGTCCCCATCCAAACACACATTGTAGCCGCGTGTAGATCAGTCCCCATCCAAACACACGTTATAGACACGTGTACAACAGTCCCCATCCAAACACACATTGTAGACACGTGTACAACAGTCCCCATCCAAACACACATTGTAGCCGCGTGTAGATCAGTCCCCATCCAAACACACGTTATAGACACGTGTACAACAGTCCCCATCCAAACACACATTGTAGACACGTGTACAACAGTCCCCATCCAAACACACATTGTAGCCGCGTGTAGATCAGTCCCCATCCAAACACACGTTATAGACACGTGTACAACAGTCCCCATCCAAACACACGTTGTAGACACGTGTACAACAGTCCCCATCTAAACACACGTTGTAGACACGTGTACAGCAGTCCCCATCCCAACACGTGTACATTTTAGCCGCGTGTACAACAGTCCCCATCCCAACACGTGTACATTGTAGCCGCGTGTACAACAGTCCCCATCCCAACACGTGTACATTGTAGCCGCGTGTACATAAGACCCCATCCAAACACACGTTGTAGATACATGTACAACAGTCCCCATCAAAACACAGGTTGTAGACACGTGTACAACAGTCCCCATCCCAACACACGTTGTAGACACGTTTACAACAGTCCCCATCCAAACACACGTTGTAGACACGTGTACAACAGTCCCCATCCAAACACACGTTGTAGACACGTGTAGATCAGTCCCCATCCAAACACACGTTGTAGACACGTGTACAACAGTCCCCATCCCAACACGTGTACGTTGTAGCCGCGTGCACAACAGTCCCCATCCAAACACACGTTATAGACACGTGTACAACAGTCCCCATCCAAACACACATTGTAGCCGCTTGTACATCAGTCCCCATCCAAACAAACATTGTAGCCGAGTGTACATCAGTCCCCATCCAAACACACGTTATAGACACGTGTACAACAGTCCCCACCCAAACACACATTGTAGACACGTGTACTACAGTCCCCACCCAATCACACGTTGCAGACACATGTACAATAGTCCCCATCCAAACACACGTTGTAGACACGTGTACAACAGTCCCCACCCAAACACACGTTGTCGACACATGTACAATAGTCCCCATCCAATCACAGGTTGTAAACACGTGTGAAATAGTCCCCATTAAAACACACGTAATGAAATTACTGTCCCAACACGTGTACATTGTAGACACGTGTACAACAGTTCTCATCCAAACACACGTTGTAGACACATGTACAATAGTCCCCATCCAAACACAGGTTGTAGACACGTGTGAAATAGTCCCCATCAAAACACACGTACTGAAATCACTGTCCCAACACGTGTACATTGTAGACACGTGTACAACAGTTCCCATCCAAACACAGGTTGTAGACACGTGTGAAATAGTCCCCATCAAAACACACGTTGTAGACACGTGTACAACAGTCCCCATCCAAACACACGTACTGAAATCACTGTCCCAACACGTGTACAACAGTCCCCATCCAAACACACGTAATGAAATCACTGCCCCAACACGTGTACATTGTAGACACGTGTACAACAGTCCCCATCCAAACACACGTACTGAAGACACTCATTTGGTTACGACTCTTGGTGTTGAATGGAGAATGTACATAAAATAATTAAATACTTGTAGTTATGGTTACTTGTGTCAGAGATGGCGGAGATCCCAAACGCTGAGGCAATGAGTTGGACATGATTTGTATAATTTCGCAGAAATTACCTTGGAAATGCTGTTTATGATGACATACTTGTCATAGTTGCTTCTATCGGTACACAACTATGTTTTTGTTTCTTAAAATGTGTGCGCTTCAGTGCCTCATAAGTTATTTACTTTGATTCTACCATACTTGGGTAAAGATAAACTCGAATACTAAGAATCCATTTAATCACTTTTGTACTTAAGACTTCGTCATTTTGATAAAGCATCTTAAGATCATGCTATCTGTGGAGATAGCCTTAAGTAGATGTTAACAGCCATTTTTATCTATTTTGACCGCCATTCAGTTTTCGAGTACTTTGGCCGCGGACGATTGCTGCAATGTTTCGTAAAAATAATTACAACAGGGGTTTTCAAGATGTCAAAATAGCAATTGTAATTAGCAACAGTACAATCAACACAAATACTGACATGTACTTTTCATTCCAGAACACACAATACTCGGAAAACCGTGTACACGATGGCAGTTAACACTTCCATCCTGCTTCATTTCCGCCGATCTTTAATCCTGTCAGAGTCGGAACATAGTAACAAATTTTACAACTGGAAATTATTTCTAAGGCACCGCGCGAGTGTTAAATTGATAGAATATTGCTGAAATTGAAACAAATTTCCAGGGACTGGTCAAAATTAATTTTCCAGGTATTCACATTCTGTATCGCTCAATTGAGAATTGTAGAAAATTCATTTTGTTTATTAAACAAAAGAACAGTCGTACTACAGTACCAACGATATACAGCAGTGCAAGTGACCCGTACAACAGTACAAGTGACCCGTACAGCGGTACAAGTGAGCCGTACAGCGGTACAAGTGACCCGTACAGCAGTACAAGTGACCCGTACAACAGTACAAGTGACCCGTACAGCGGTACAAGTGACCCGTACAGCAGTACAAGCAGCAGTACAAGTGACCCGTACAATAGTACAGTAGTACAAGTGACCCGTACATCTGTTCAAGTGACCCGTACAACAGTACAAGTGACCCGTACAGCGGTACAAGTGACCCGTACAGCAGTACAAGTGACCCGTACAGCAGTACAAGCAGCAGTACAAGTGACCCGTACAATAGTACAGTAGTACAAGTGACCCGTACATCTGTTCAAGTGACCCGTACAACAGTACATCAGTACAAGTGACCCGTACAACAGTACAGCAGTACAAGTGACCCGTGCAACAGTACAAGTGACCCGTAAATCAGTACAAGTGACCCGAACTGGGGTACAAGTTATCCGTACAGCAGTGCAAGTGACCCGTACAGCAGCGTACAGCAGTGCAAGTAATATGCACAAAAAAGTGAGAAGTACAACAGTACAGAAGTACCTGTGCAAGTTCAATAATACAGATGATATGTACAGAAGATTGGGTGATACATTTAGAATAAAACAAGTGATATGCACAGATTAACAAGAGATACATACAGAAAATTTTATACGTACAGAAAGACAAGTGATGCGTTCAGAAAGACAAGTGATGAGTTCAGAAAGACAAGTAATGCGATCAGAAAGACAAGTGATGCGTTCAGAAAGACAATGATGCGTTCAGAAAGACCAGTGGTAAGTGCAGAAGTAAAGGTAGTCAGCAAAGCAGCACAGGTGATCTCATTTCGACCACATTAATATACCATCTGATAGAATGAAACAAAGGGAATTAACTCGGGGAGATCAGACGCAAACCATATGTGATCCGGACGGCGTAAAAGAAAATCCGTAGAGTAGAACAGGTGATGAAAACGACTCGACGCAAGTTATTTCAACTTAGACTCACCACTCTTGTTGGCCCGGTGTAAACGCGGGTCTCAGTGTGGGGAGAGTACCCGGGGAAAATCCACGTGGTCGGGCAGGTGACCCCTTACCTTTTCATGTCCGTTCCGGGAATCGGACCCATAGGTGAAAGGCGAAAGAGTTACCACTGCGCCACCCGACCACCCTTTCGTGTTTATACCTCTGCTGAGCGACCATTTTGCTTTTCTATCCTTATCTTGTATATTTGTCTTGTTAAATTTACTTTGTTTACAAAACTTCACACCCTCATCCCACATTACCGGGCTGTAGAAAGAGAGATGCCACGGGTGGATTGATCTACGTAAAAAGGGAAATATATTGCATTGCACATTTAACAAAAACACAAAAACTTACGTGAATACCTGTCGATTTTATGAAAATTCAACAATTCAACAGTATATGATTTTTCATAAATTACACGTACGTGTTTTTTCAAAGTTAATCTGCAGCGGATTCGTCGCACTGATAGAAAAACAAAAACAAAAAACAGCGAACTGGTAAATGCGCGGCCAGCCATGGGTTCGAAACATGGACCCTCCAATCTCACAACGGAGGTTATACAAATCGATCGACCCAGCCCACTTCCGTACGCATATTGTCGTGTCAGTGACGGCAAACATGCTTACTGTTAATATAGATATACGGGTTTTTTTTATGAATGCCCACTCAACGTTGTAACTACCGAGTCTAAACTGCTAGGCGATTCGCGATGACATGTATTGTGTGTTATAGTGTAAACGAACGAGGAAGAATGGTCGAATTGTTTACCCGAGAATACTACTACTGAACAACGCTGCTTACATCTGCCTTGGACATACGTCCCTGTAGGTCAGGTGATGGGTCGTTTCAAGCTACAGGTATATATATTACAAGCGATAACCACACGAGGACTAGCCACAACTTTTGTAGTGTATAAAGCTGTAACAATTCACAATGCATTCTACTTACCAACACGGTTAAAAACCACTGGTCATTCTGTGTGTAAATTACTGCACGAGACTTTAGGTCTAACTTGCATAGGTCTAACCTCTGGCCCGCCAACCATGACGTCTAGTGCTCTACCCTAGCGTTTTATGAGAGTTCTTATCAGTCTGGTTCTGTGTCAACAAAAAAGGCAGGTCACACATATATAGCCAAGACATTAGTAGTCGCCCGAAATCCGAGTCATAATCACGCTTGATTTAACATCAACTTTAGCATGTACACTGGCCGCTATAGCTGAGTGTGTTGCCAAGCCAGTGTAAGTACTGAGTACCTAGAATCGTCCACTTGCAGCCACTAGGTCATTGATTTGTTGTAATACCACAACGTTCGCCTAGTAAATCAGAATTATAATACACACACAAGGAAACAATATCTACAGAATCATCCATACAATTATAAGGACGTGCACTATCAACATTGGGTATTCATTTTACATTGCGATCAAAACACTTCGTTATGTGATGCATTCAGGGTTATTTAATTTGTACAATGGGATATAACTGTATGACATACCTGCATAGTTAATCAATGAGTTCACAAGTACTGAATTAGGTATATCTAATAGGGATGTAGAATTTTTCAGAATAGCAAATTAAAGCTCTTTGTACAAAATGCTGATACAATCTTAACAATTTTATGACTACTAATTCTGTAATATAATTTGTATCTGTAAAGTAACATTGTATAATCAAGACTGTCTTTGTTAACATGTTGTCTGTATGCTTATTGTGTGATTATATCTATAAAACCTTCATTTGTGAAGTATGTACAGTGTCACCACCAGATTTATACCATACAGTACGTACAGTGTCACCACCAGATTTATACCAAACAGTATGTACAGTGTCACCACCAGACAGTGTGACCACCAGATTTATACCATACAGTATGTACAGTGTCACCACCAGATTTATACCATACAGTATGTACAGTGTCACCACCAGATTTATACCATACAGTATGTACAGTGTCACCACCAGATTTATACCATACAGTATGTACAGTTTCACCACCAGATTTATACCGTACGGTATGTAGTGTCACCACCCGATTTATACCGTACAGTACGTACAGTGTCACCACCAGACAGTGTCACCACCAGATTTATATCATACAGTATGTACAGTGTCACCACCAGATTTATACCATACAGTATGTAGTGTCACCACCAGATTTATACCATACAGTACGTACAGTGTCACCAACAGATTTATACCAAACAGTATGTACAGTGTCACCACCAGGTTTATACCAAACAGTATGTACGGTGCCACCACCAGATTTATACCATACAGTATGTACAGTGTCACCACCAGATTTATACCATACAGTATGTACAGTGTCACCACCAGATTTATACCGTACAGTATGTACAGTGTCACCACCAGATTTATACCATACAGTAAGTACAGTGTCACCACCAGATTTATACCATACAGTATGTACAGTGTCACCACCAGATTTATACCGTACAGTCCGTACAGTGTCACCACCATATTTATACCATACAGTCCGTACAGTGGCATCACCAGACAGTGTCACCACCAGATTTATACCGTACAGTATGTACAGTGTCATCACCAGACAGTGTCACCACCAGATTTATACCATACAGTATGTACAGTGTCATCACCAGACAGTGTCACCACCAGATTTATATCATACAGTATGTACAGTGTCACCACCAGATTTATACCATACAGTATGTACAGTGTCACCACCAGACAGTGTCACCACCAGATTTATATCATACAGTATGTACAGTGTCACCACCAGATTTATACCATACAGTATGTACAGTGTCACCACCAGATTTATACCATACAGTATGTACAGTGTCACCACCAGATTTATACCATACAGTATGTACAGTGTCACCACCAGATTTATACCATACAGTATGTACAGTGTCACCACCAGATTTATACCATACAGTATGTACAGAGTCACCACCAGACAGTGTCACCACCAGATTTATATCATACAGTATGTATAGTGTCACCACCAGACAGTGTCACCACCAGATTTATATCATACAGTATGTACAGTGTCACCACCAGATTTATACCATACAGTATGTACAGTGTCACCACCAGATTTATACCATACAGTACGTACAGTGTCACCACCAGATTTATACCAAACAGTATGTACAGTGTCACCACCAGGTTTATACCAAACAGTATGTACGGTGCCACCACCAGATTTATACCATACCGTATGTACAGTGTCACCACCAGATTTATATCATACAGTATGTATAGTGTCACCACCACATTTATACCAAACAGTATGTACAGTGTCACCACCAGACAGTGTCACCACCAGATTTATATCATACAGTATGTACAGTGTCACCACCAGATTTATACCATACAGTATGTACAGTGTCACCACCAGATTTATACCATACAGTATGTACAGTGTCACCACCAGATTTATACCATACAGTATGTACAGTGTCACCACCAGATTTATACCATACAGTATGTACAGTGTCACCACCCAGTATGTACAGTGTCACCACCAGATTTATACCATACAGTATGTACAGTGTCACCACCAGATTTATACCATACAGATTTATACAGTATGTCACCACCAGACAGTGTCACCACCAGATTTATATCATACAGTATGTACAGTGTCACCACCAGATTTATACCATACAGTATGTACAGTGTCACCACCAGACAGTGTCACCACCAGATTTATATCATACAGTATGTACAGTGTCACCACCAGATTTATACCATACAGTATGTACAGTGTCACCACCAGATTTATACCATACAGTATGTACAGTGTCACCACCAGATGTCACCACCATACAGTATGTACAGTGTCACCACCAGATTTATACCATACAGTATGTACAGTGTCACCACCAGATTTATACCATACAGTATGTACAGTGTCACCACCAGACAGTGTCACCACCAGATTTATATCATACAGTATGTACAGTGTCACCACCAGATTTATACCGTACAGTATGTACAGTGTGACCACCAGACAGTGTCACCACCAGATTTATACCATACAGTATGTACAGTGTCACCACCAGACAGTGTCACCACCAGATTTATATCATACAGTATGTACAGTGTCACCACCAGATTTATACCTTACAGTATGTACAGTGTCACCACCAGATTTATACCATACAGTATGTACAGTGTCACCACCAGATTTATACCATACAGTACGTACAGTGTCACCACCAGACAGTGTCACCACCAGATTTATACCGTACAGTATGTACAGTGTCACCACCAGATTTATACCAAACAGTATGTACAGTGTCACCACCAGATTTATACCATACAGTATGTACAGTGTCACCACCAGATTTATACCATACAGTATGTACAGTGTCACCACCAGATTTATACCATACAGTATGTACAGTGTCACCACCAGATTTATACCATACAGTATGTACAGTGTCACCACCAGATTTATACCATACAGTATGTACAGTGTCACCACCAGATTTATACCATACAGTATGTACAGTGTCACCACCAGATTTATACCATACATGTACAGTGTCACCACCAGATTTATACCATACAGTATGTACAGTGTCACCACCAGATTTATACCATACAGTATGTACAGTGTCACCACCAGATTTATACCATACAGTATGTACAGTGTCACCACCAGATTTATACCATACAGTATGTACAGTGTCACCACCAGATTGATACCAAACAGTATGTACAGTGTCACCACCAGACAGTGTCACCACCAGATTTATACCATACAGTATGTACAGTGTC